GTGAAAGCCATGGACACCTTCCACAGAAAAATGCACATACGCACAAAATTGGTGTGCAATTTATTTTATTGCATGGGGAAATAATTGGGGGGGGCAACATATTTGGAGAATTCATGGGAGGGGTTCCACATACTGCTGGTGAATTTCATCTACCAGAGATTATTAGATGTAACCTGCATGTTGCTGACACACTCCTGTTTTGCTCCCTATTCCACTGCCTGAAAGCAGAGTAGAGAATTTCTGGTGCACTTGTGGATTCAATCCAATATATTTTAGTAGTGTTGAAGGAAGTCAAGATTTTCACCGCTATTCCTTACATTTCCCCCCTTGTTCCCTCCATCCTGTTCTTGCTGCTGAGCAACATTTGTGTAACGAGAAGTTGCTGGTGCTGTGTACACACCACACACATTTTCTGTCCTCTGGTTGCTAGGTTCTAATTTGTGTTCATTTACAAACTAAATGTAAAAAATAAAATAAAATGGAAGAGGCCCTCAAGAGGTTCTGAGGGTGGCAACACGAGAACAGGCCTTCTCTGCAGTGGCTCCCCATCCAAGGAATGCTCTCCCCAGGGAAGTTCACTTGGCGCCTTCATTATACACCTTTAGGTGCCAGACAAACACGTTCCTTTTTAACCAGGCCTTTGGTTGATCTGATTTACATCCTATGCCCTTTTAAAATGTGTTTTTTGTGTGTGTGTGGGAGGGAGCTATTGGGTTGTTGTTTTTATTTTAATTTGGTATTTTGTGGTTTTTTTATATCTTGATTTTATTTTGTGAACTGCCATGAGACCCCTGGGTATTTTAACAACAACAACAATATTCTGAGACTTTTCTCCAAAACTGTCCAAGGGTTTACCCCCCCCCCCAAAAAAAAAAAGAGAAACCAATGAGAAAATTCAGGGGAAATCTATCATGATTCCATCATCTGCAAATAAGGTGAAGAATTTCAAGAAGCCATTTTTACTCAGTTCACTTAGATGATCGTTTTCCAGTAAGAGAAGTCTTGCCAACCTAGTGCCCTCCAGGTGTTTTAGATGACAACTTCATCATGTTGGCTGGAGCTGATGGGAGTGGTCATACAAAACAGCTGAAGGGCCCTAGGCTGGCAAAGGTTTCTGTATTGTATCTAGAAGATGGCTGGCGCAAACATACATTTCTGGAGGACTCAGCCGAATGACAGCTTTACCCCCAAAATGACAACTGAAAATAAAAGAAAGCAGTGTGGCAAACAGGAGGATATACATAATCCTCAGCTCCTCAATTATCTTCATTGGCCACAGGGCTTGCACAATTTCCCACCCATTTCTTTTGAAGGGATCTGTTAATGAAAACAAAAATACCCTGACAGAGTCAGTAGCATCAGCAGCAACACAGCCGAGCATGAAGCCGGCGGGGGGAGGTGGGGAGCGAAGAGCTTTATTCTCTAAAACCTCCCTACAAAAATCTGCCCTACCTCAGCATTTATCAGTTCCTCTGCCTTATTGTCTCGTTAGAATGGAAATGGCGAGGATTTTGCTCTCACTCACTTGATGACAGGGATGACAATGTCAACTGACGCCAGTTTTCATAAGCCTAAAAAAGCTGCCCTGGGGTAAGCAACAGTGAGACCAATCAGATTTAGAATTTAATATTTCCTGCTTCGAAAAGGATAAAGACACACACACACACAAGCACACAGAGTGAGTTAAAATTAGACTACCGCCACAGACAGCAAGGGAACACATCCAGGATAGACAGCACACTCACACAAAATACACACACACACTGTATTGCAAAATAAGGGACAAATAGCTTGATCCTGAGTAACATCTCCCAATGCTGAGATGAAGATTTCTGTTTATGTTACATTGATAGACTCTCTCTTTACACACACACACACACACACACACACACACACAAAAATGCCTGCTGTGCTTTGCAACCATACCTATTCCCAAATCATAGGATGAGAGGAGGTCTCTCCTTGGTCTTCTCTTTCTAATTGTTTTGCGCCTACCTCAGCCAATTCCCCCTCATCACTCTAGTCTTCAGATTTCTGACAGTATTTCCAGTGTGCTTCTAAGAAATCACAAATCTCTCTTTTTTATTCCTTTCACCCGCTAGCACGTTTGCTTGGATATTCAGCTGAAAGAATCATTTCACTCTTTTCAGCATCCTGCTTGCAAAGTGTGACTCAGAAAGATTTACACTAGCCTCAAATTGGTGTGAGCTTTGAATCACCCCCTGCCAGCAGGCAAAATTGAAAGGGAAGGTTCTAGCTATTGACTTTAGTACAGTTCCGAATTTTCTTTGCTGTAGCCAGAGGTAGAACATTACTCATTTACTTCTGGATATTTTTTTTATTTAGACCAAATCAATCATCCACTGTTTTAAAGATCTTAAAAGGCCAGCATCCTCAAACTGAGCTCAACCCCCAGCACAGCATATGTTCCCTCGTCATCATTATGCTTCATTATGGGCTGCTTCTTATGGGCATTTTTGGTCTTTGGTATGCATACCTATATTGAAAATGCATATATCAAATAATTAAACTGATGGTTTGAAAATCTGCACTGATCTACATTATTAATTGGAAGATTCCAGCATTTTGGATTTTCAGCAGAGCCCTATATATTATAATGCTTTTTTCTGGGGGGTGGGGGAGATGAGGAAACTCACCATGAAGTTTGTTGGTTTGTTGCAGGCCCAGTCACAGTGCTGCCCCCGCCCCGGGCAGCGGATAAATGTAAGATGTGATAAATAAACTCAAGCAGACAATGATCTGGATTAGAAATGGTCACAACTTTATTGATTGCAGGTATAGGTGGATTTGGGGCTCAGGCATTGGGTGTATATCCATTTCAGCTGCCACAGACAAAAAATATATATGATTATTTAATTTTATTATAGGGAAGAGAAGGCAGTTCCTCCCAGTTCTTGCTCAAAAAAACTACAGTGGTACCTCAGTTTTTTAACGTAATCCATTCCGGAAGACCATTTGAGTTCTGAAACGTTCAAAAACCAAAAACTCAAAACCCGACAGCTAGGCCTGAGGATCTTGCACTCAGTTAAGAATGCAAGAAGAGTCTCCTGGATCAGGCCAATGGCATATCTAGACCAGCATCCTGTTCTCACAGTGGCCAACCAGATGCCTATGGGAAACCTACAAGCATAATGCTTCTGAATACCAGTATAGACCATATTGATCCAATCAATATTTCCATTTAGTTCTCATGAAATAGATAGACAGGCTTTGGAGTCGTTTCATGATTAATAAACAAATACTACATCATGGAAAGAGTCTCCCGCAGACCCCAGACTTTGGCCTGTCTTCTGTAGTACATTCTATGGAGGGGGGCACAGCAACCACATGATTTGCAATGCATCTGTAGTATTTGGAAGCAGCCCAAACATTTTTGGATCCTGTCTGTGCCATTTCAGTTTGGTCCAACTCTGATATGTTAATCCAAAGCTTTTTTCTTTTTTTCTTTTTTTTGTCTATAATGGAAAATCTATAAATATTTCCGCTTTTCACATAACTGAATGAAATTTGCAGGCAAAGGAGCCCTTCAGAGTGGGTAAGCCTGCCAAATTTCAGGCAGATCCATTCACGGGGTTTTGCAAAGCCAAGCTTAATTTTATTTATGAGCATTATGATACTAGTAGTTTTGTTTCCAGTTCCTTTTGTAATGATCTATAGCGTGGATCCCCCCCCCCCCCCGCATAACTGAATTTCCCTTCCACTGTCCATCATGACCCTAAGATCTGCTTCCTGGTTTGTTGCCTTATGTAAAGTTATGGTGTTGTATTCAACACAGCACTAAGGCAATGGCTCCATCAGCAGAAGTATTTCTGCTTGCCTGACAGAACCATCTCCTCTAAAATTATTTCAAAAATTCTGGGAGTAGTACAAGCATGTGCAGTTTGCCTCAACTGTCCATCTAGGTTGCCAATGTGCACATGAATCTCTGTACATACATGCAATATTTTGCACAAAGGCATCTTGATGCAATGGTGAGTAGGGACCGATGAATGGGAAAAACCAAAAACAATGACAAAATGTTTATGCACAATGATGTCTGCATAGTCAGGGGGGGGTGTTAAAAAATGGAAGCATAACAGATTGGTAAATTTTTAGGTGCACTCCACGAACAAGACTAGAAAATCTGAGCTGCAATCAGATGCACAGTTTTCTTGAAGAAAGTCCCATTGAACTCAATAGGGCTTACAGTGGTAACTCAGGTTAAGAACTTAATTCGTTCCGGAGGTCCGTTCTTAACCTGAAACTGTTCTTAACCTGAAGCACCACTTTAGCTAATGGGGCCTCCTCCTGCTGCCACACCGCCGGAGCACGATTTCTGTTTTCATCCTGGAGCAAAGTTCTTAACCCGAGGTAATATTTCTGGGTTAGTGGAGTCTGTAACCTGAAGCATATGTAACCTGAAGCATATGTAACCTGAGGTACCACTGTACTTTTTCATATAGATTTGCACTAATGGAACCCCCAAACCAGGGGAGAATGTTGGATAGGAGAACAGCATTCCTATAAAAGCATCCTACAGGATTTTGACATTAAACCACACAGACAGCCCACTCAAAGAGAGGTTAATAGACCATGCTGACTTGTCCTCTAGAGTAGAATGAGGGAAATTACGTATGTGAGGGAGGAAGTGCTGTGGGGGCAAGTTGACCAAATTTCTAGCAGTTAGCAAACAACATTTTATGACATCTAGGGATAGTGTGACCTCGCTTGTTCCCTACTAGAGCGGGCAGAGGGGGTCCTTTTCCAGGAAGTGAGGTGCCTCTTCTCCCTGACACCCTCCAGTGCTTAAACACACATACAAATGGACAGGCACACAGTGATCTGATTCACATCACCGGCATCAGCAAAAATCCTCCGTAGCTCAAGGGCACATTGTTGCCTTGTACAAGGAATGCCAACAGAGCACAAATGTCTTTGTCTCAGTTTTCAGATCAAAACTCATTTGTTACTTGTATTCACATTTGAATCCATTTTTTCCCTTCCCTCCCCCTTTAGTTTATAGCACGCTAAGTGGATGTTGCAGAGCTGCCCGGCTTTGTATCCATCCAGGCATTTTTGAAGCTTTCTCTCAAGGCACCATGGGGATGGATGGAGCCCTAGCCAAAGGCATGGAAGAGCTCTCTGAATAGGTCTGCCTTTCCGACCCAGCAAGAAAACTTCAGCAGACACACCGAAACACCCACACGCACACCCACCCACACATCTTGCTGGCTGGCGAATTTCAAAAAGGATAAATAGGTGGTTGTTTTCAACATGCCACACATGAGCCCACAAAGTAGCTCCTGTGGCTCTGTCCCTGCCATGAAGCTAGCACTCTTCATTCCTGGGCAAACTCCTAATAAGCTAGGAAAAAATGGTGTTCTGTTCTGTGTCTTCTTTCAAAGCACTCATCGTTTTCTGCATTTGGTGTCCTGATGCATGAATCACATGCCTGTGTGTCATTCCTACATACATTCAGAGCGGCTGTCATCGTGCAGAAGTCTTCTCAGCCCTTCTGCTGTTGACACCCAAATTCGGTTTCAAAGGGAAGCCCAAACAGATTCATCGCTGTTGCTCATGAGTCACTCTGTGTTCTTTAGCACCAAGTTGTCCTTCCTGTTCAAAGCCAGGGGAGGTGGGAAGGAAGGCAAGCTTCACATGAGTTGCTCTTTTTTCAAACACTGTGGGTGGGGTAGATCTCCATTGTCTCAGAGGCTTAGAACAAATTCCTTTCAACACAGGTTTTCTATTTCATATGAAACAGGCAATTTTTAAAAATTGGGTTTTATAAACAAGAGTGTTATACAAAGAAGTTTTCTCATGTCATTTGTATATCACAAAAATAGCATAACAAATATGGAAAACATATGTTTCATTATTAGTGGTCAGTGTATACGTTCTTAGTTTATGAATTGGTTTAAAGTTATTTTTCTGCGTTTCCCTTTCAATCCCACCTCTCCCCAAGCTTCATTCCACGCAGTTGCTCGCCTCGACTGCCGTGGTTGTAGCTATGGCTGCGTCCTAATGAAAAAAGATGTCTAAACTATTACCATAACCTCGGAGGCATGAGAGAGTAAAAGGCCCTTATTAGAATTCTGGATCTTCAGCTGGAACCTTCGGCTCAGGGTGGGAGATAAAGTTTACTATTGTTAGCTCACAAGTGGCTCAGACTTCCTGGCAACTGCAATGAATTACTCACCTCCTTTATGCTGGGCTTCAGAAACAGTTCACTGTTTAGCAACAAAAAAGGCATTCAGGCAGCGAAAGATGGCCTCCCCAGGCTCTGAAAAGCTAGCTTTAAGACAGTGAATGGACATTGGAGCCTCCCAAGTGAATGACCACTGTGGGAAAGAGGAATTATGTCAGCCCAAATGCATTTCCAGCGATTTTGCCCCACTTTTCATCTCTCTCTCTCTCTCTCTCTCTCTCTCTCTCTCTCCCTCTCTCTCCTATCTCCCTCTCTGTGCTCCTTCCTGTTCTTTAAAGGCCTTTTTTAAAAAAAAGTTTGGACAGACTCAAATCAACACCAATGGCTCATTTTCACATTATTGCCATGGCAACACACACTTGTTTTTACTTCTTTTTTAAAGGGAAAAGCCGAAGAAAAAGAAAGCCTGAAAGAAAAGGAGAGAGTTTGGCACAGTGAGTTGGAACTGGAGCTGAGCAAAGTGAAGAGCATGAGGAATGGAACTGGCAGCAGGGATTTTTTTTATTTTTATTTTTATTTTTTGGCAGGCAAAAGGGAGGGGGGCAGAGGGATGGCATCTTTTGAAACACAAATGTGTAATCCTTCACTCTCTTGAAAAGCTCTGCACTTCTGAAGGCCCACCGAGGAATCAAGAATAATGCTTTTTTTTTTTCAGGAACCACAGAATGTCGCTTTCGGAAACATAATCAATTAAGAGTTTATTAAAAGCATTTAAAGCTTGTTCTGTGTTTGAATAATGCTAACAAATGTACTGGTGATTAAAATAATACATAGATGATGATGATGATGATGACACAAGAAGTTGGGACTGCTATACATCCTTCCTCAGGAACATGGTGTATATATACATAAACATATAGAAAGAGAAAATGTGCAATATATATTAATGTGACACATACTGTCTCTGGTTTTATCACATTTTCAGGGCATCTGTAGCATGTTAAGAAGCCTCTGTGCAACACTAGCTTGACACTGCCAATGGCGAAGTGAAAGGAGCATTCATTACATCCTCCTTACCTCATGTAAATGATACAATGGGCCTTTCAGCCATGATCACCAGCCTTCCCACCCACCCAGAATAACCCTAATGTTTTCTTCCTGCCTTTTTATGAAACGCTAACTGTTCATGCCAATAAACGTTAGTGGCTCTGGCGAAGCCCATCCTGAGGCAAAACTGAAACATGGCAATACACTATGCAAAGCTATATTCAGGTTATGAAGTGGACACTGAACGGATATTCTGACCCACAAGGCAATCCAACACGAAGGCATCACTCGGTGTATACCCCACAGTGTGCAACAGCAGCATGCAAGCAGTGTGTTACTGAACATGGCATGGCTGTGTGAGCTGGCAGCTTGCAGCAGTTTAAAATGTATTGCAACGTGTGTGACCAAAGGTCCCCTATAGACACTGACATCTATGGACTAGAAATAAACTTTGCCAAATCTCCCTGTCCCCCTCTAAGAGGACAAAAGCCATCCCAAGTCTGAGTTGTAGTGGAAAGACTCCCATTAGAAGCCACATCTACGCCATATATTTATTCCACTTTAACAGTCATAAAGGTAAAGGTACCCCTGCCCGTACGGGCCAGTCTTGCCAGACTCTAGGGTTGTGCGCTCATCTCACTCTATAGGCCGGGAGCCAGTGCTGTCCGCAGACACTTCCGGGTCACGTGGCCAGCGTGACATCGCTGCTCTGGCAAGCCAGGGCAGCACACGGAACACCGTTTACCTTCCCGCTGGTAAGCGGTCCCTATTTATCTACTTGCACCCGAAGGTGCTTTCGAACTGCTAGGTTGGCAGGCGCTGGGACCGAACGACAGGAGCGCACCCCGCCGCAGGGATTCGAACCGCTGACCTTTCGATCGGCAAGTCCTAGGTGCTGAGGCTTTAACCCACAGCGCCACCTGCGTCCTGTTAACAGTCATGGCTTCCTCCAAAGAGTTCTGGGAACTGTAGTTTTTGCCCCTTGCGGCGCTACAATTCCCAGCACCCTTCAGAAACAACAGTTTCCAAGACTGTTAAAGTGGTGCAGTACAAAGGTATTGGTTGTGACCAGAGACTCACAAAATCTGCTTCAGATCCATTGCTCTCTTGCATGAACAGTTGCACTCCATTGGAGCTGCTGGATTGATCTATGGCCAAAGAAGAAGCATGGAAAAGAGCCACAAGTCATTCCAAGCCTCTTTCCTCACCCTTTCCCCTTTGGATATAGCTGATCACATGAACTGATGAGCAGAAGTCTGATGGGATTAGCTTGCTGATAATGGGCTGTACCTTGCAGGTGAGTAGTGGGACATTTGCAAAGCTCCCAATGTATTAAAAAACACCTCCCTTAAAATAAAAAAAATACTAGCACCTCATTGTTCTGATAAAAAAATTAAAAAAATGAATAAATTCAATTTATCAATATTGGTCAAGAGCTATGTAAGAATGTGGGTTAAAAAAAAAGAAATGCATTAAGTCTGTGTGTGTGATTTTAAAAAGTCTGCCTCACAGGGTAGACTTTCCTTTCATTCAAATATTAAGGTAAAATAGCTTCCACTTGGAGAGTTCACAATGCACGGATGTGTAGAAACCTGAAGTGATAAAATACACCCAACCTCAATGGTAACGCAATTATCTTTGCCTATTAAGCAGGCCTATAATTTAATCACGCCACATACAAAGCATGAGGGAATGTGGCCTTAAAAGATAAAGAGGTAAAGAGAAACAGGGAATACTCCCATGGCCAAATCTCTAAAAGTCAGCACAATTATTTTTGGCTCCAGTGTCAACATTCGGGAAAACAATTCATGACAAAATGACACCTTGACCTTGACAGCATTATGTTGAAGCTCACTGAGGAATTTCTACGAGACCCAACGGCTTATCCAATGACATAGGCAGCTCAAACTGTGTATGTGCTGTTTCAACACTCCAATGCATATGGTGAGAATTGGGTGGGACAAGCTTGTTCCCACCCATATCTCCTTCCAGCCAACATAGCTGATGGGAACTAGTGTTCATTATGATGCTGCATGGCTCATTTCCTGCACAATGGCATCCTGGGATAAAAAATACCTGGCGTTTTTGAGGACAATTCCCGTTTTCTCAAGTCACACTCTTTAACTCTCATTCTGGATATTTTAATGGTACCCTGTAGAACAGGTGCAGGGAACGTTTCCCCCTCCAGATCTTGCCGAACAACAGTTTGCATCTTATCTGGCCATGGGCCATGCTTGCTGGGGCTGATGGGATTCCTAGTTCAGCAGCATCTAGAGGGACACAGGTTCACCAAAACTGATGTCGAAGTACTTTTGCATTTAAATAATCAAGACTTGTTTTGAGTTTAAGCAATCAAGGACATTATGAATGAGAGCATAACAATGCAGATCTGTCTTCAGATTCTCAACCAACTTCCTCTTCTCTTTTTTTCTTCATTCCCCCAAAGCATTTATTCCTCTTTTCATTGCACCCTTATGAATTTCCCATTTTAATTTCCTTATAACTCAAACACGTATGCTTTTCCCAAGATTGATTTCCTTTCCTCTTCTCTTCTTTGTTCCTTTTGTTTATTCTTTTTCTTTGTCGCTATTGAATACTCTAAAATGTTGATTGTGTGTGTGTGTGTGTGTGTGTGTGTAAATACATGTTATATGTAGACACACATACAGATACACACACACACAAAATTTGTATACAACTTAATGCCAAAATAGTCTTCTTATCGCTGTATAAAAGTATAAAAACTTGTGACGCCGTCATTCAATGCAAACACCCGTAATGAAATACAGAAGAAACAACCCTGTTAAAACAATGCAGCCATTAAAACAAGAGACCGAGAGCAAAAGGTTGCCTGTGCAACAGGTGTGTCTTCAAATATACAGGAATCAAGGCATGAAGCAACTGTTAAAGACAGACATTTCAGAAAGAAGTTTGACAGCTGTGCAGTGAGACAGCAGAGGCAAGTGTATGTACACATGCGCGTGCGTGCACACGCGCACACCCATATACACACACATACCTCCAAAGAAAGACACCGGGGCAGAGATATATGAGAGAAACTCCCATTCCATTCCTCTATTATGGCAGAGAATCGGGGCATTTTTGCAAAGCACACAAAATAGCTGACAAAGTCCCCTGAACCCAGCTGGTAATTACTTTCAAGCATCTGACCTTCTCTACCACTGCAAACGTCTAACTGAGCCTTAGTCACACAACAACCAACCATTCATTATGTTACTCATGTTCAAAACAGCTTCCTGGGAAGATGACACAGCCCTGGAAAAGGGATTTGCATAGTCCCAACTGAGCCTACAGGGCTTGTGCTGCTCTTTGTCATCCTTCATAGTGACCAGCCTCCTTTCCCCCCCCTTTTTTTTTTACAGTTCTCCCCCTTCAAATTTCTCATGGTTATTTTTTCTTTTAAAGGTTCCCTGCAGGTATTTCCCTCCCCTCTCTCCTCCATGCTCCCTCTCCATTAAAAGAAATTTATTTGAGATCTTTTCCTAGAAGCAGGAGAGACAGACAATGTCATATGCATCTGTAAAATAGGAATAGCAGTTTTCTATCTCTGGTGCCCTGGGAGGGCAAATGTAATAAAAGTGGGGGAATGCTTTGCAAATGTAAGGCGCTGTGTTAATGTTTCATATTCATTTGATAGACCATTTTGATGGCTCTGGCCCACCAACACACAATGACTCAGGCCAACCATCACAGGCTGCTGTGTCTGCCCTCTCACTTCAGATTATATGCTCTAAAAAAAGGCTTTTCCCAAACTTGGGTTGCTAACTGGCTTTGGACTACAATTCCCATCATCCCTGACCACTGGTCCTCCTAGTTATGGATGATGGGAATTGTAGTCCAGCAACAGCTGGAGACCCAACTTTGAGAAACCCTGCTGTAGACTGCAGGCTTGCTCTTTATCTTTCATCAGCCTTCTCCAACCTGGTGCCCTGCAAATCTTTGGAATACAACCCCTATCAGCCAGCTTGCCTGATGGTCAGGAATGCCAAGAGCTTTCTTCTATGTCATTCAGATTTTGCCCAGTTGGGGAAGGATGCCTTTACGGGCATATCAGTTACTCCATATATATTTATCTTGATCCTATCTGCATTTTCTTTGTGATGAGTTATATTGTTATGAGTTGGGGGGCCAGTCTGGATGGTGCCCTGGGTCCCTTCCAGTCCTTGGGATCCTGTATCTGTGAGGGTAGAATGAAGCTTGCCAAGTGAG